TGTAGGATAGTGTGGATTAACCCCGATGAGATCCCGATAGTTTTTTGTCAGCTAGGCCACTGTCACCCTCGCACCCTCCTACACCATCGCTTGCACAGGATAAATGTTTTCCGCTGTTGTGACCAACACAGGTCGAGCACACCGTGTCTCGTAATCCAGGGACCGCTTGCCACACTCGAAATGCGCAAACCTCTCAAACATAGAGCGCGTCATCACCAAATGCAACTCACCAATAATCAACACTCTATTAATGCTGCTTTAAGCTACATTTATAGTTCTAGAAAATCATCGCTCCCTAATCACATCGATTGAGTTTCATCGTCACAGTCCGAGTATGGTGACCCTCGTTTCACTTGTGAGCTGTGCTCTCCGCTCTGTTGAAATTTGATTCTAAGTGATTTACACACACTGAATAATATTCGCGATAAATTACAGTTCACGTTTCCCCTGCCCGGCCATTTTCACCTCATACTCGTGTTTCCGGAAGCTTTGTTTGCTCAGCCCTCCTACGTCAGTCATTCAAAACAAAGATTTAATTATGTCCGTTCGTGTATAAATTGTCCTGATAGATTACGTCGATCATCCTTCAGCATTGGTGAGTGGTATAGGTTATATTTCCAAAACAGAACGACCGTTCCAATTTTCGGCGCGATAAACTTTTAGATCAAATGCACACAGACTCATCACGGTAGGGAAGGAATAGGATTGGAAATCGCCATGTCAATCATTCCTGTGTTCATGTTGTTTATTTAGGCGGTAAGGTCAGACAAGGTTGACAAAATGTAAACAACATTTTGAGTTCATCTCAATCGCAAAAGCATCGTCAACAAGAGCAATAGAAAGTAGAGCAATTGTTCATCCTCGATTGATTGGAAATTTACCATTGGAAATCCATGTGAGTTACTTCAACCGACAATAAATTATTGTGGGACGAAATTGTAAGCCCCTAGTGATTTACTCAGAAAGTAGTTGCGTTTTCACTTGTACATGTTTAGATTTCAATTCCTGGAATGACTTCCGCGAACTCTTTAGAAAGCATTACATATTTCAACTGTTTGATTCTCGGCTGGATGATCGAAATCTTAGCTGGCTTTTGGTTTTCCTATAGAAACTTTCGGTTTCTTTGTTTCTTTATTGAACGCATTCGCTGTTTTAGTCCAGTCGATAGAGTAACCATTTGCGCTGTGAGAAATTTTATTCTTAGCCATTGTTTTATAGTAAACTAAAATCAAAATCCATTGATTTAGGCCTAATAGTACATCTCGTTCATCATTGAGAGCTTTATCTATAAAGCATATAAAAAGCTGGATTGTCCCCAGTAATTTTCGACTCGTTCATACCTTTTATTGTCCCACTTTTAAATGTTAACCTGCACATAATCGTTGGCGACTTCAACCATACTAGTACTTATCCACTTTTATCATTGGGTACGACATATCTTTGTCACTCTCCCACAAGAGCTAATTCTACACTGAACAGCATAATTTCTAACCACCCAACCCTTTTTTCGTTAGCACTAAAAGCTCCTATTTCTTCCAGTGACCATTGTTAATTCTTAGTTCGACCTAAAGTTAGTTCTCACAGTGCATACAAATCTTTCTGCTTATTTGAACAGATCAGATTTCGTTTTCGTAACTTCAAACCTACACGTGTTTCTCTCCCGAATGAATCTCTCACACAGGCCCCCCTTATGGTTTTCATCATTTTCTTCTCTGTTCACATGTGTCCCGTATTCACCCAAACAATCAGTGCCATTTTTAATTACTGCTGCCCCGTTCAAAGTCTCTATGTGTCCAACGGAAGAATAAACTCTGCCCTACTGAAGTCACTGTGGGACGACAAAAGGAACGTGCGTACAAGTTTCACAATGCTTGAACTGTTAGGTATTTGTCCAGGCTTATCAAAACTGAAGTAAATAGATTAAACACATTATTTTCTGATTGAATTCTGAGGACTGGAGACAGCAAACACCTGTGGCACGGTATAAGACTACTCTGTGGAAGGAAGGAAGTACGGTCGAAGCCGGATGTGGATGCTGATGATCTCAGTGTCACATTCCTGCGCCAATCATCGAACATTCTTCCTGCATACTAGTCACAAAATGTTTGTAACGTAGAACCACTCTCATATTGTGATGTGTTAAAATTTTTAGACAGTCGTCAATAGTCTTCTGCGGCAGGCCCGGATGACTTACATCAGCTCTCTTCAAATTTGGTGCTACTTCTCTAGCTGGGGCAATTACCTCTATTGTAAATGAATCTCTTCACACGTCTACTATTCCCGACTGTTGGAGGCCGGTCACAATCATACCAATCCCCAAAGCATCCAAATCTTCTATCCTCTCCAAATGCTTTCTTCCCATAGCATTGTCATCTTCAGCTCTTAAATTGACTGAAAAGGACATTTTCAAACGACTTCAGCAGTTTATAAATACTTTCAGTTATCTGTCACAGTTTGCTCACAAGCCTAATCGATCGACCTTGGACGCAGTTTCCACTCTCATTCATTTGCAAAAGTTATACACAATACACAATACACCGCATCAAGTAACCTGGGTGTAATGGCATGTTGTACTTGGATATCTTCTGTTGAAAATTACACATAGACAATTATTGTTTCGTTAAAATCCTGAAAATTTCAGTGGCCTAGGAGAAATTTGAACCCACGCACGGAAGCCACCGGTGCTTTGTAAAGCGCAAGCTGTATCAGATGAGCTACAGCGAAACCTCACCGAGAGTACTGAGCTTATTAAATCACCTATCTAACTCACAGAGAGAGAGAGAGGCGTACGGGATCCACCAGTTAGCACGTGACCAGACTGCCACGACAAATATTCGATCGAATTCATCGGAGTCCACCAAGTGAACTTCCAGGGCAAGGTTGATTGTCAAAATTGTTACATCAGCCGAATAAAATGTTATATTGAAATGGTGCAAAAGTACAGCAACCTCGATGGGATCCACCATAAGATTTCAATCTGCCAAACAACACTATGGGATTTTATTTTTGTTCATTTCCTCTGTACACATAAGGGATGACAAATGTATGATATCAATCACGTATGGTTTTGCTCCGTTCGCTCCAATGGACCCGTCCGAGGTTTTCCGCCTCCGGATAAGCGAACCGGTCTCGGGGACCTCTCTTTCAAACCCCTATTGTGATGATTTCATTGGGAAAGTCGTAAAACCATTGCATTGTTAGCAGTTGTAACACTTGCAGCTGGCATAAACATAAACATCCACAACCGAAGTTACGAGCATTTCACATTATATTCAATCAACTGTATTTTATTATTTTAAGCATCCAAAATGCAAAATTTAAATCCTAAAGATTGATTTACGCTTTAGTAACGGTACTGAAAACAACCACGAGAATAATGCGAATGAAAAAGAATTCGTTGGGCACTTTTAGAATGAACCGTCCGGCAGATTCGAATCAAACAAACGGACGCGATAGTTCAGAATAGTTGTCCACACGCGAACTATGAATCGGTGTATTTTAAAGCATTAGTCTCGATCAGATTTGCGTAATAATAGCTCCTAATTACAAAATTCATGAGCTCGTGAAAATTTGAAATTTCTTGCACAAAACCTGTTTGTTAGATTTCATTTCTTAGAAGGACTAATCATGGGAATGAAACCAAAATCAAAAGCGGAGGCCTGAAAGAAAAATCTTTTATTCGCATGTGGCCTCAGTTTGACTATGTTCAAAACATTGGAAATCGGGCAATGAACGTAAATCATGACGGACAGAATGTCAGAACTGAAANAAATAACTGGTTCAGATTTGGAAGAATGGTTTGATAGGTTTTAGTTCTATTCGGTCTGCTAGCCTATCCGCTGAATGGATTAATTCGAGCATACATATTCATCTCACCGCGTTTAGTTTTCTTATACATACTGATCCACCGTAGTCGGTCGGATAGGATTGAGGGGGGGGGGGACCAGAGATAGCAAGAACAAGACAGAGCGTNNNGTTTTTTTACACAGGCTTAGATTGCAACTGGATTGGCTATTGTTGTTGTTCTCGTGGTGGTGGATGGAATGCAATGCGAAGATCACACGGTGCCACACACAAAACTCGATTGGGTTAGTCATTGTGATGATGCGCTTTTGCGCGGAGGACCGCAAAAAAACTCAATGCAAGAACACACAGGTTTTCCCGTCGAGAAGCATTTGACGCGTGGCTGCGTGTGTGCTCAACGATTTGTCAACTGCACCGGCCAGGAGGGAACTGATAAACAACAGCAGCGTGCCAAATCCCGCCGCAATTGGTCCCCAGCCTAGTATGAGAAAACGGAAGACAAAAAAGAGAAGCAATCATGTACTACCTGTCCTTGTTCAACGGATGTATCATTTATTTTGTCTGACCGGTAAAGCATATCACACACAACACTTGACCACTTTCCTAAATCAAATACTTTACTTTTATTTGTTGTTCAAAGGCACCAGCAAATGAGTACACGATAAGCGAAATTATTTCTCAAACTGGCTCACTAATTTCTCTGGTTTAAAGTTTATGGAGTATGAAAAAAGTTGTAGTACACTCGTCGGCGAAACAAACCGATTGCCAAAATGATATACGTCGAGATTTGAATTGAAAATTGTGCCTTTTGTTAACGTGAAAGCATTGGGCAAGATTCACTATGAAAAATCCAATCGAATTCGTCCTCTTCACTGATATAACGAGAACGCTTGGTTTCCAGGGCTTCTGCCTTCAAAGTTTCGTACAAAATGACTTTGATGCAAATGGGATTTCTCGTATTCATTCAGTTGAATAACAACCGTAGACCCTTATTGTAAAATCTTGTTTAACGCCATTTCTCTGGATTGTAACAGAATTTCATTTGATTATTCAATAGAGTTGCTATTATGGATTATATATTCGATGAAATTATACCCTGTAACATTTAACTGAAATGGAAAGGGCTTATGGAAATAATTTGGGATAGTTCTTGAATTGTTACATGCATAATCCATTTTGTTTTTATATTTAATAATTAATTTTGCAAGTTTCATGTTCTGACTGTCCATACCCAAAGCAGAAATATAGTTGATAAATGTAATAAAATTGAATTTAATCAGACAGAAAATATTTCAGTTCACCTCAATCGGCCACTACTAGATATGCATATATATATAATGCTGAAGATGATCATGATTGGTATTCGTACCACGATGATGATGATGATGATGATGATGATGATGATGATGATGATGATGATGATGATGCTGATGACTAGCATGACAATGATGCAGAACACGTGGGCAATGCTAACCTCTATGATACCTAATGTGATGCCTGCCGGAGTATAGGGGCGTGATGAATGTAAACAGTTTTCACTCGATTGTATGGATCGATTTCGTTTATCTCCTTACAATACGAATGTACCACAGATACTTTCAGTTTATAGTTTTGCGCGTACAAATTCCGGTTAGAGACAAGCTCGGAGGGTATACGTTGTTGATTAATGTAAGTTAAACCAATGGTTTGGACCTGTCATCCTCCCGGGGCTGTCAAAGAAATCCAGATCATTGGTCCGAGAAACATACTGATCCCTAATAGTCAAATCATCCACACAAATTCAGTGAAAGAAGGCTATCGATGATCCGACAATCCCTATTTCTCGCGCTCATAACAACCGGACTAATGGTACTATTGTCCACTGCATTAGCCAACAGTTCAAGATGCTTTTCTCAAGGCAGGAAAAAAGGGGTATCCACAAGATGATGAAACTGTAAACGGTCACAATAAATCCTGTTCCAATGACTGACTGACACTGCGTTTGCACTAGTTTGTGAACCGCAGACATTTATCAACATGCTATTAGAGGAAACAGAACAACAGGCAAAGGCTCCATTATGTGAGTGATTTATGCCCATAAATTTGTTAATTTATTGTTCTACCGATTTAGCCGGATCTTCCACGATGACCCAACACACGACATGCAAGTCACGTTCAACGATATTTCACAGATGGGCAGTCCTATGAGAGAAACTGTCCGCAGATGCAAACAATTTGTTTTGAGGCGAAAAGGGACTGCAACCAATCAAAACGGTACCGAGAGGGGATCGCAAGGGATAATAACGGATGTAATAGGTGAAACGGATATATGGCATAAAAAATCGATGTAAATCAATTATGAACCTCACCCCTCCTAGTATTTCATCAGTTTAAAACATTTGAAAGTTCTTGATAAATAAATATATATATATATATATATATTCACTAAGTAAACATCGAATTAATATTTGAAGACTGCTTTTTTATCAGTCCGGGTCATGTATCGGAAAATTCATATTTTCCGCTTTTGTTGTCCACTATTTTTTTATAACTGTTTTCTTTAAACGAAAAGAAATAAAATTAAATACACATTTGAAATCCCATTAAAGCTTAGAGTGAGTTACCCCAGAACCCTTTATTTGCCGTCATGATAATACTGAATATATATTTGCAGGAACGTTCAATGTCGATACGGTGAAATATAAAATCTGTGCGGATCAACTGAATTGTTTTTTTTTTAAATGGACAGAAATTCCTCCAAGTCTGATCAAGCGACACATGGTAGTTGATGTCAATTTAGTAATAAATTCGCTTGGATCAGTGGATCAGGCATTTTGTCCGAATCAATATGCCGGGGTTTGAAGCAGTTTTCACTCGATCGAGAGAACTTGCTACTTGTACTTGATCCATACAATGACAGCACAATTTCACATGGCCAATACCCTTATTCGAGATTTGGGGCACGTGTTTTGCACACACCCTAACCGTTAGCTTCCCACCCCCGTCCCCAGCACAACAAGTCCGGATGAATAACAAATAAACCTGTAGTGTGCAGAGGGCGTCCGTTTCAGCACTCCCATTATTCTGTCAGAAACACAAGCACTGTTTACTCACTGGCATATGTCTAGACAACCATTGACAAGAAAACAAGCAACATGCCATTCGTGTGGAAAGCGCCTACCTCAGAATCACGTGACTGAAGAGCATTACGAGAGAGTGAGAGAGAGATTGAAATGTAACTTGTCCGGCAATGACCTTGAAATCGCAGCTGAATACTGTCCGGCAACAAGTAAAATGAACTAACAGGTAAAAATAACTATCCGAGGGTTAATCATGTAATTAAACACAACACGAGATTAGGGATCCACTTGGAATCAAAAGAGTCGTAAAGTTGCGCACGGAGCGTAATATGCAGGAGTAGTCACATACAGAGGACAGCAGTAAACGAAAGTTGACTGAACCGGCTATTCAACCAGTCATCCAGGGAACAGGATACAACATAACATCGGTAAGCGATTGTTTGAGGGAAAAGGAAATATTCGAAAATAAGTGCAGGCTTAGTGATAATAGATCATTGACTAAATTGATGCATTGAGACTTGTCGCTATCGGTCAAGGTTTTTTACTTAAGCCACACGTTCGATAAGTTGAGTGCAATGTGGAAAGAGCAATATTTCAAACATGTGTAGTTCTTTTTTATTTGAAATGATCACACATGCACAGAAGAACTGTGATCATCTTCGTTGAATCGGAAGTCAAACGAACAAATTTATTTTAACGGTCTCAAGATTGATTGATATATAAAAGTTCTGAAGTCACCCCCCCCCACACACACACACTCAATTGTGATTGGAAGACGCGCCCAACATCGTGGATACTTTTGTCCCCAACTGAGTGATAAAATTCAGATTTGAGGATTCTAATCTCGTGTCCCTTTTCTAGTGCCGATTGGTGAGGTCTTTGTGATGCTTTTTCTTCCGTTCGTGAAAAACTGATCGTAATGGGAACGGGGGAAGAAAATCACATTATTTCAAAGACCAGAAAACAGTCTTTTAATCAGCAACTATAATACTAAAAGACTAGAACACACTTTCTTTCGGGGTGATAATTTGGTGACCTTACCACCGGGCGACCACTGTCCGTAAGATTGTTAAAGTAGAAAAGCTGTACAGCAAATAAACCACATCGTCATAATGTCCATTAACTAGAGGGTTTCGGAAACACCAAAGAAAGTTTTTACCGCATTTCATATGATATGATTGCTTTTGAGATAGGATAATTCCTCCCTGAGTGTACAATAGTCAAGATTACTGGGATTTCAGATACTCTTTACGGCTTTCGAGTTAATCCGAAGACTTTACATAACCCGACAAAAGTCTTTCAAAAAGGTGCTTGAACATAGTCACCAGGAAGATTTCTTTTTTCAGATTTTCAGCTTGAAAGCATTTAAAAGTCTGTTTCGTGTTTTGTAAACATATGAGCATGCTTTTTTACCCAAAGTCCGATAATCCACATCCAAAGATTATTCGTTAAACTCTATACGATCGAGACACCTCTNCCTCTTAGTGGCTCCATGTAAGAAAATAAATTGTCGCTGACATAACGAGCTCGTCGATGGGGGACTGCCAACGAGATAGATTAAGGTTCATTGTTTGAACTAATGCAATACTAAAACCTAAATGGAACTGGTACAGATGAATAATGCTCAAAAATAAAGAGAGAAAAAAATACTACAATGGAATTAAACCAGATACACCTTGATCCATTTATATATATATATAACCAACCGAGATCCGGGGCACCTGTCACAGTTGAGTAGACATGAACGCGCGGGAGAGGCGGGATGAATAGGTGAACTGTTTCCATCCCTCTTGGGTCATGTGGTTCCGGTGGTGCAGAAATTCCATTGCTCATGCGAAAAATTGAACTGGTGTTCGTATCAAAGCATTTGCAGAATTCAGGAATTCGGTCGTGGAATTTACGCACTTCAAATCTAGGCCAAAATATTTTGAATATTTCATCCGGTTTGCTCACGGTGATACTATAACACGTTTATTTCACGAGCCGCACACGTCAAGTTCAATGTTTGGAGGCTATTGTTTATTTTTCTTAGAACATATTTGTTAGATCCTTCAGAACTGGGGATAATGCACACCCACAATGACATCAATGCATGTGCAAGATTCCGCTGCTTCCAAAATTCAAATTGCCTAGCACTAAATGCTATCGTTAGGTCTATCGATTGTCCTCAATGAAAACAAAGCTTGCGGTTAGATTGTACTTTTTTTCTAGTTCCATCATGGGCATTCCAGACTTTTATCAAGCCCCATTTTGGAGCAATATTCGTCCGGCAAAATGTTTTTTCTATTAACCGCGATACTAAGAAAAACGAACTTCCTAAGATGTGGGAATGATCAAAAAGCAGCATGGTTTGTTCACAAACCATATGAATCAATTTCCATGTGATTTAGATGTTTGTACAATTGGAAGTTAAGCTTGCAAATTCTGGAATCAATAAAATGACCAGTGTTTGGCTGTGTCCATTACACAGCGCTGCGACTCACCAAATTCGCAATTCCCTTTGGTGTAGGGACCGACAGCACCGCCACAAACCTCACGAATTGTGACCGAATCCCAGCCGATAGGCCAAATAATCAGGCCAGCGACGAGAAGAATATCTGTTCGGAAAGAAGCAAAACAGAACAGAAAAATGAGCGATATTATCCAAATTACTTTAATGAATAAAAAATGCTTGAATGTGAATCCGCTACGACGGAAAAACCTGAACTAACGTCCAGCAGACTAGCACTGCCAATGAAAAGCCAACTCATAAGTGGCAACTGAAGCAATCTATCAATGTTCAACTGATGGTAGCAAATATTCAATGTCAAAGATGGATGGGTACACATTTAGGTCTCCGAGACGGAATGCACCCTAGAGAAGCTGTAGTATCGTACCAGACCTGCCCCGATTGATTGGAACAGTGATATTTTATCGTGAATGATTGAAAATAAAACGCCGCTGATAATCACTATACGGGCGGTAAACTGTTCTTTTCGCCCGGTACCTTCTTCCCACTGATATCCGTGATTAATGGAGTCTGAACAAAAACAACGTTTCGTTTAAACGAGACGCCGAGCCCAAGAGGGATCTGGAAAAAACGTGGTTTGACTCAAGATAGGCACAAGTTTAAGTAAGAAAGTTGCAACATTCTACAACAAAAATTTACTTATTGAGAAAGAAATTGGTTAGTGAAAGAGATCAAAAAACGGTACCATTTTAGTGTTTTATTGACTCTGGTAATAACAATTTGGCGTTAGTGAACGACTACACATACCGAGANTCGTTTACGCTCAGGAACGTCTATGCCCTGAGATGTGCATTATTCAATTCCGCCATCCTCGAGGTTTGATTGCACAGGGTGACTCACGCATGAGTGACCTCTGTAACACAAGCGGTGCTTCTTTGATTCCTAATATGTGGCATCCACGTGTATCATTCACAATTTGAGAGACGAGTGAAAAGCATTTAATGAGCATTTTGTTCGGTCAACTTATTCTTACATTATTCCTAGTTCGCTGCCTCGGAGATCTGATAACCGGGGCTGCCGATATATGTTTACATAGTGCAATCATAATCGTTCAAAAAATTACTGATATGTCTAAACATGTTCCAAAACAATACCGTCCTCAACAGGTCTGTTTTTAAACTGATCCATCCACAGTTTATCAATCTACGTTCATCGTTTGCCTCACTCCAGTCACTGTAAACGTCGTCAAAAATTCTTCACAGTCGTGTCTCCTTTTCTCTGGTGTGCTAGTGAACAGCAATGCGGTCAACTATCACCTGCATCAAAATTGAATCCGAGTTGTGCTGTATCATTTTTCGCATAAGTGTTTCTCTCATTCTCATTTCATTATAAATATTGATTTTATGCCAATACATCGCCGTATATGTTCGTAGTTTTGTTAAGGAAAGTCTTTACATTGTGACCTATCCATCACACACGCTCACACTCAATTTTTTGGTGGTGGTGGTACAGTGGTATAGTCGCTCGCACCGGTGTGCTTTGGACCCTATGGTCCCAGTTTCGAGCCGGGTTACCGCCACCCGACATCGGTGGTAGGCAGCTCTGCTTTCGTCCGTTTCACTCAACCATGCCTAACCTAGCGCAGGGCCTTACGCGGTTCGCCCCACTCCAAGTCCCGCGGGGTTTAGCTTGCCGGGTTCCATCACTGAACAGTGAATATGCAGTTCGCTCCGTCTGCTGTTCATCACACAAAAGTGTGTAATAAAAAAGTGGAATTTCGAACAAAGAATGGGATGGATCAGCTGAGAATGGATAGCGTATCCGGATAATTTGATTTAATATCTGTGAGATCTAACGAAACAGACAAACGTTCTCACCCCGAGAATTTCAGTTAACTATTATCAGTATAATTAAAAAAGGAAACAGCGTGAAAAGCCGATTACATCAGCAGCAATTATCCGCACACCAGTCTCTCGTTTCTGTAGTTTTGTCCCATTATGTTTTCCGATCTGATTGGCAATTGACCCTCAATTAACGAGTTCCGTTTCACTGTCGACGGCAATCGCCTTGCCTATAGTATGCAGGTGTGGCACAAATCATTCTTTCGTACTTCTCGGTTCACATTCATGACGGAAAAAAGATGTTTTTTTGCTAAATAAGTCAAGCGAATCGTAGGATGGCTTGTGTGATGGTTGATTCTTATGAGCAGTCAAAAATGTATCGAACTGATCAATTTGTCGTAGATTTTACTGTATTTTCCTCTTAAAAGCTGTTCTCGGGAACTGAGTATTAATTTGTCTTACGTGATCATAATGACTTCGACAGGTTTCTGTGTGTTAATTATTTGATAGCATCGCTTCTCATCATTTCCCGAATTTTGTCGACTACGTTTGAGCGAAATGCATTAGTCATGATTCTATTAGGTCGTTCATCAAAAACACACTTCAACTTGTTTCCGGTTCAATCAAACGGACTTATTCAGTGGTTCAGTTCCAAGAAGTTACTTTCACTAAAACATTCAATTAGCGATCACTGTACTCCTTTGATGAAACACCAGACCTTGATTCTGTTTGAACAAGAGGCCTGCACTGCAGCTATGAGTCCAACACTA